CTTTACTTGGTCTGATCTACATGTAACTCCAGACCCACAGCAATGTAGCTAACTATTAACTGGGCAATTAAGAATGGGCAATAATTGCTCCCTAGCCAGCAACATTCACATCCTTGAATGTATTAAAAGGAAAGTTTTCACCCAGAAGGTGGTGGTTGTCTGGAACTGACTGCCCCATTTGGTGTTTGAGGCAGAAACTCTCACTGAGAAGGAATTGAGATCTGACTCTGAAGCTCAGGTGGGATTAGGAAGGTGAGCTGGTGTAGGCACAATGGGCTGAATGGCTTCTTTCTGTGCTGCAACGTTTCTAAGGTTCTACGGATGCCAGTCAATATTCCAATGGCCATTGTACCTCAGTAGCTAACTTTCGTGCATTCACCAGGATCTATATTCCCTCTACTTTTGTTTGCTTCTGCAAGGACCTCCAAGGTCTGAGTGTGGCCCTGCAACTTAGAAGGAACATTGGCCAGGATCATGAACATCACTAGGTGGTCCAGTGAAACATCACGGTATTAGCCCAATGCAGTCCTCAGCAGTGCAGGTATCTATATATCATCAGCATTAGCCTGAAGTCACTGGGATCTGAAAGAGCTCCATGGCTAATTGTCACTTCTTTGCCACTGTCACAGAGTTAATTAAGCTATTAGCATCAACAATGTTTTAATTCCCAAAAAGTTCAACTCAAATTGATTATATCAGAAGGTACTGTGCAAATGTGCATTTTCTGTCCATATCTCCACGATTTTTGTTTCCACTAGTGGGTGAAACTAGAACTAGGGGGCACAGCCTCAAAATAAGGGGAATTAGGACTGTGTTGAGGAGGAACTTCTTCACCCAAAGGGTTGTGAATCTGTGGAATTCCCTGCCCAGTGAAGCAGTTGAGACTACCTCATTGAATGTTTTTAAGGCAAAGATGGACAGTAAAGGAAATAAGGATTATGGTGAGCAGGCAGGTAAGTAGAGCTGAGTCCATGAAAAAAATCAGCATCTTTTTACTTAATGGAGGTTCAATGCAGGTTCAAGGGGTCAGATGGCATACTCCTGCTTTTTTTTCTCATGTTCTTATGTTTAACACAGAAATTCAGTACAGAATGTAAACTCGCTGTGTGAAATGTTCGGCCATTGATTTTGATGAAGGAGACAATATTGGAATTGTACCTCATGGCAATGTCATGGTGAGATTTTCTTCAAGCTAACTTGCTTTTAAAACTTATACAAAGCCCTCTAACTCAATTGTTAAAATGGATGACGATAGGAAGATTGCCTTGAATATTTCAAACCTGATTCCTAATGGAGAGATATCTAGGTGTTAGCTAAAGTAATAGTAGAATGGCACAATTCTTAAAACAGAAACAGATAGATCGGTGGGCACTTCAAATTATGCAACCCACCCGCGTCATATACTTCTCTTGCAAAAGTGGGGGTGATGGGGAGGTAGAATTGCAACAGCAATCCTGAAAATCTGAAGATGTTAAGCTAATGCCTAAAGTACACTTCTATGAACTGAATTTATGTTGAATCAGTTTTCAATGTTATTAAACCAGTAGCACTGAGTCTATTTAACAGAATGAAAATTTTGAATTTTGAGTGAAAGAAATTCCATACTTTCCAGCCAATGCTCATTCCTAAAATAAAACAGAAATACAGTCTTCGGCTGCACTGCATGCTGCTCCTTCTGAGAACATTCTGGAATCAGTTTCTAACTACTTCAATAATCTTATTCACAGATAATGGGAATTTCTCTCTCATATGTTCATTTGATGTTAATGGCACAGGGAGGAGGATTTTGGTTTATGAATACCATGCCAGTTCTCTGCAACAGCAAAGCAGTTAGGGCCAACTCCCTGACCTTTCCAATGTAGCCTTCAAATATTTTCTCTTCTGATACTTATCCAATTCCCTGGCCTGTTCCCTGACTGCTTTGCTTTTTCCTTTAATGTAGCCAGTGACTTCTGTTCTGTGTAACAAACGTTGCTATCAGAATCAAGTTTAAAGGGAGCCATGTCTGCCAACTCTGATCGATTTTGACACAGTCTAGCTCAAGGACAATAAGGTTGTTAGACCCGCAGTCACGGCCAGGATGGAATCACCTGATTCAAAAAGCAACACTAACACTTTGTGAAATCTAAACAGTTTCAAGGACTTGAGCTTTGATTTACCAATTGGTGTTATTTGAATGGAAAAGTTTTTTTAAAAAATGAAGTACTCTAAGCGACTCAAGTTTTGTAAGCCCTAGTTGGAACTTAGCTTTATGGCATTCACACTCAATCGTATGATCTCCAGTACGTTATAGTATACAGAACATAATTTGAGAGAACAACCTTTTCAAGTAAATTGAAAAATTTACAACCCCAAACTGCAAAAGAGTGGACTGAAATTTTCAAAACAAGGTTATTCAGTACCATGATGAATTAAAAAACCAACAGATTTAAAATACTAGCTCAGATGGCTCTTCTCCCCACACCTTAAGGGGATTTCATTAGAACAAAAGCAAAATACAAGAGATGCTGGAAATTGGATAACTACAGCAAATGCTAGAAATACTCATATCTGCAGCATCTGTATTTCAAATCAGTGATATTTCCTCAAAAAAAACTCTGGACCCCACAGTCCTTGCAAACTACCATCCATCTCCAATTTCCAAAGTCTTTTTAATTGTTCCTATCTTTACTGCAACTTTATGCTTGAATTTCTCCAATCAGGTTTCTGCCCTGCCATAGTACCAAAATATCTCAACAAAGTCACAAGTGACATTCTGCAGACTTCGTCAAGGTTAATTTTGCTCCCCCCACCATCCTTCTTGAGCCACCTGCAGTTTCTGACAGAGCTGACCACACTATTTTCCTCCAACAGCTCCCCACTCTCATCCCATTCAGTGGGACTGCTTTCCCGCTCCATTCTTATCCATCCAGTTGCAGCCAAATAATTACTTGCAATGGTTTCCCTACCTTCTCTTACATCCCCTAACTCTGGTGTCCACTAAGGATTGATCCATGCTACCTCACACCCCAGTTCTTGATCTATGTGCTACCCCTCAGTGACATCATCCCAAGGTACAGTGTTACAATGAAATCTGGTTTTAACCCACTACCATTTCTCAACTCTGCACTGTTGCAAAATTATCAGTCTGCTCACCTGATATCCACTACCGGATGAGCAAAAAATTCTTCCAATTATGTATGAGATGCCTGAAGCCCATTGGTTTCAGTTCCTTCCTAGCTACCAATTCCAACCATCTCCCCGGCGACATTCTAAGATTAAGCTATGATGTTCACAACCTTGGTGTCATGTTTGATCCTAAAATGAGCTCCTAACCTCATGTTCATACCAATGTGAATATCCACCATTTTGTCTTTTCCACCATGTCAAACCACTGCAACACTGCCCTATCTCAACTCATCTGCTGTGAGACCCTCATTCATTCCTCTGTTTCCTCTAGATGTGAACTATTCCAAAAAACTGTGTGCTGGTCTCTCTCATTCCACACCATAGCTTAGTGTCCTATTTAATTTTATGATGCTCCTGTGAAATGCTTTGGGAAATTTCATTATGTTAATGGTGTTACAGCAATTAATGTTACAGTTTTAATGTGTCAAAAGGTTGTGGGTGCAAACTTCACTCCATGACTTAACATTGCAGAACACAGTTATGGAAATGCTACAGTATCATAGGAGCCAGATTTTGATCAAGACATTAAAACGTGGCCCTGTGTTTATCCAGTTAGACACAAAGGAAGGCCATGGTTCTTTTCTTAAAAAGGGAAGTTCTGTGTGCCCTGAACAACATTTACCTCTCTGTGGTCATTACCAACAAAAAAAAACATTATCTGATCATTCATCTTGTAAGTTTAGTTTGGGATTTTGCTGTGTGCAAATTGGTTCAGGTTTGCCATCAAGATTGAAATGCATTTCAAAATATAATTTATTGATTATCAAGAATTTTGGGCCAAGTTGAAAACATGATGGGCAATTTATTAATTCAAGGTCTTTCCTTATTGCTGCATCAGTTTTGCTTGTGTACTAATTCTATGCAATTTAGAACAGAATTTGCAAATGACTGAGCTTTAAATCAAGCCTGGTGATGCTTGATGATTTGTGAGCTGGATGCCGTACAGTAACTTAAATTCATAATTTCTTCAAAATGCCTATGGAAGTAACTGTTCTTTTTGCAATGTTTGAAAAGGTCTTTTAAGAGTTATAATTCTGTTTGATAATAAGAAATATTGGTCCTTGTGACCTGGCAACTCTTGACCTGGAAACAACACTAAGAGGAAGGTTAAAAAAAATGTGGCCAGACACAAAGATAACAAAGAAGCTACTGCACTAAAGAACAAAGGAGATCTGCAGCAAATGGGAGAAAGAGAAGGCATAGCTAGAAGATGTGTACAATACTGTTAAACTGGACAGAATGCTGAAGAATGATTACAGCATCAATTGGAATTGGACAATTCCACTGTTGCTGCTTTGGTTTTGTCAGAGTTGACCAGACCACATTGAAGGGGTTAGATAATGCAGCTTCAGTGGAACTTGTGTCACTAAGACTGTTGCAAACCAAGCTAAGATTATTGTGCAAGTGCATGCCATTCTGGTGACGCCCACCTCCAAAGACCTCAGGTAGAGTCCAGTTACTAATGAATATGACTTAAAGACTCAATCGATTGAGTAGAAATGTGAGCGATTCCACGCATCAGAGATCATATTAGAGAACTCTGGAACTGCTCATGATGCCATTTGCTGGTGGGGATCGATGCAGGTGTCTGTGGTTTTGTAAGATATATCTTTGTTGTATCGACCATTTTAAAGTGAAATTTATCAACTTATTTGAAGTATTATTTGACTGTTAGTTCACATTTAATTTACATGGATTTTGATGTAAAAGTAACAGTGAAAAACTTTGTTAAGTCTTCATTTGGGCCGATGGATGGGTGGGTTTGGGAGGTGGTGGTGGTTGTTAGTGCCGAGCAGCCCATAAATCGTATGATTGTGGAGTCTTATTCTTACCTGCCTGTACCATAGCGTTGGATCCATTCCTGAGTGTTTGCTTGACTCTAGACTGGGTTTTGTTTCACATAATTCCCTGCCAAGGTGGCTCCCCTCAGTCAATTTCATCTTTAGTCCCTCAGCTTGCTGGGATTGAATCTTGGAGATATCGTCTGCTTTTGCCATAACGGCATATTTCATGGAGTCTGTGGAGTCCTTGGGCTTGTTGGGCACCGGCTTTGCAAGGTCTGTCAAGCTAGGAGCCTTTGACAGTGTGGCTGAGGCAGAAGACTTCTGTTTCCATTCCTCTCTGTCTCGATCTTTAATGCTATGCTCTTGTTTCTTCTCAGTGTCATTGGTGTTGTGTTTCCCACGATTCTGCTCTTGTCTCTGCTTGTGTTGTTCCTCACACAGCTTTTCATATTGCTGCCTGTACGCTGGGTTTGTGCTCATTACGTGACTGTGGTATCCCTGCTCACTGTACCCATACTGGGGCATATACGCATACTGGCCATAATAGAGAGGCTGCATGTACATTTGAGGCCTTTGCTGGATCACTGAAGGATGGTGACCTGTACTGCTCATGTCAATCTTTTTATCGTCAGCACTTTCAACTTTGACCCTCACCTCTGCACCCTCCTCCTCTACTTCCTTCTTGATTTTGACTGAATGACTGACTGCTCCCGAACTACTACTGGCACCCCCAGGGCTCGAGTGGGGGTAGTTTGGAGAGTAATAGGTGTCATAACCCTGATAGTAAGGAGAGTGAGTTTCCTTATTCAAAGGTGGCTGAGTTCTTGAAGAAGAGGATGAGGAGGAAGAGGAGGTTGACGATGAGGAGGAAAATAATGCTTTCTTGGCACTTTCCTTAGCCATTTGATCCGGAGATGATGTTTTGACTTTGGCGCCTTCTCCCTTCCCCTCTCCATCTTCTCCTGCATCAGAGATATCAGAGTAAGCTGGGCTATTGGTCTTGACTGAAGAGCTGTCGGCTCCGTTCTGCGTCACCACGTGTAAGGGTGTGATAGGTGTTACCAAGCTGGTGCCTTCTAGCCTGCTGGCTGTGCCAATGGAGGGACTCGGCGCATTGTCAGTGAAGCTGTAGATTTTGTCTGCTTCGGCTTTGATACTTGCCAAGCGACTCTCATGTGACTCAGATGAACCATTTAAGAGGCCCTCACCTTTGGGAACAGCATCTGCAGAAGAATCTCGGAAGGGGCTTTTGCCATCCTCAGGCTTTCCTCCTTTCCCCAGTGGCTTGGGACTCGCTGCTTCCTTGGCATCCTTCTTTTTCTTTTCCTTTTTCTTCTTCTCTTTTAAGGGGGTGAGGGCTGGGTTGACTGTCGATGGCTCCCCCATGACAGTTGGCTTGGGTTGAATGGCTTTGAGTGGGGGGCTCTTGGACATCGCTTGGACCACAGTGGTGGCCAGACTTGGAGCAGGCCCTGGACCAGATGCAGTAAAACCAGTAGTGGGGAAGCTGTACATCTGTGCAGACATGGCAGGGACAATGGGCCTGGCTGATTTGGTTTTGAGTGGAAGCTTTTCGGATTTCAAGCTGCTTGACTTCTTGGCTTTATCCTTTTCCAAGACCAACTTCTTTTCGCTCGAATCGTCTCCATCATTGCCTGTATCATCACTTGGGCTGGCCACTGGAGGCCCTTCTTCTGAACACTCAATATTATACATCCCACCAGGCTCTGTGTCAGCCTCTGGAGAGACTTTCTTTTTACTCGAACCCTTACCAGCAATGAGCTTTGCAGCAGGTGAAGGACTATGAGCTTCCATGCTGCCTTCTCTCCTGCCTTTGGGTGTGACCGAGCGAGCAGGGGACATGGAGCCCTTTGCCTGGCAGAATGTGAGAGAGCTGGAAGAGCCATTGCAGCTGCTAGAATCCTGGCTCAGCGATGGGTGTTGGGCGCAGTCCTCACCGTCTGAGTTCTTCTCCTCGCTGTCAATGTCTCCCTCAAGTTTCCCGTCACTGTCTGTATGCGCGTGGGCCTGGTGGTACCGCAGGCCATTAATGTGTTTGTATTTCTTGTTGCAGTTGGGGTGCGGACAATCAATGAGAACAGGTGACGGACAATTATGTTCGGGCACAGGCGGCTCAGTTTTCATCCCTGTAACTGGAGTCGGGGTGGCGGTTCCCCGTGAGTTTGAACGCATTCTCTTCCCTCCTTTTGAGTCCTCAGAACTCGAGGTTAAGTCCAAGTCTGGAGCGGGTTTGTTTTTCCGTTTGTTTCCTGCTGAAGGGCTTGCCTTGATATCTTCAACTGTGTTTGTTGGGGTGCGTCTGTCAGAGGAGTTCTGGCTGCCCCGACGCCCCTTGCTACTTGTGCATGCCCGGGTTTTGGTGACAACCTTGCTGTCTGGCACAGTGGTGGTCTCAATCACTGGAGTATTTGTAGTGGGGCGTGTTCGCTTCCCCCTACCTCGATTGTTCCCTCTCATTTCGAGGTCACTCGTAGGTGATTCACAAAACCTGAAGAAGGCAAATACAAGTCAATGACCTCAGTGAGCTAAATAAGATAATACTTTAGGATTTCTCATTTTAAAAAGTTCAAACCCGAGTTTAATGGATAATGAAAGGGATCAGTACTCATAAAGAGCAGTGTTACTGATGAAACCAATCATTGCTTAAGAAAGTGAGGATAATAAAGGTTTAACAATATATTCCAAGATATTAAGTATATTCAAAACACAGTGGAAGGGACTATGCTGAGTTACAGAATGAATGCAGATAAATCTTTGAGTGCAGTAGGTTTTTCCATTGGTAAGTTAGCAATCTCAGCCATGGCTTCCTGAAAAAAAAAGTGAAGATCATCAGGCTGTTTTACAGAGTTAAATGGAAAAGGGCAAAAATCAATAGGGAAGGAGTTTGCAAATGCCTTTGGATGTTTTTGAAATTTTGATCATGTGCGACAGGAACTTTCAACAGTTGATTGGAGTAGGCTGTTCACAGGTAAAAGGACGACTAGCAAGTGTGAGGCTTTCAAAAATGAGATAACGAGAGTTCAGAGGCATTATGTTCCTGTTAGAGTGAAAGGTAAGGCTAGTAAGAATAAGGAACAATGGATGAATAAAAATATTGAAGCTCTGGTCAAGAATAAGGAGTCATATATTAGGTATAGGCAATTGGGAGCAAGAGAATCTCTTGAAGAATATAAAGGCTTTAGGGGCATTCTTTAGAGGGAAATCGGGACAGCAAAAAGGGGATATGAAATGGCCTTGGCAGATAAGGTTAAGGATAATCCAAGTAAGGATTCTACAAGTACATTAAGAGCAAAAAAGCAGCTAGGGAGAAAATAAAGCCCCTTAAAGATCAACGAGGTGATCTCTGTGTGGAACTACAGGAGATAGGAGAGATACTAAATAAATATTTTGTGTTAATTTTTACTGTGGAGAAAGAAATGGAGGTTAGGGAACTCAGGGAAATAATATGAATTTTGATGGCTTGAAAACAGTCTACATTACAGAACAGCAAGTGCTGGAAGTCTTCAAAAACAAAGGTGGATAAATCTCTGCAACTATTCAAGTGTATCCCAGAACATTACGGGAAGTTAGGAAAGACACTGTGGGGCCCCAGCAGAGATATTTGTATCATCTACAGCTACGGGTGAGGTGCCAGATGACTGGAGGGTGGCTAATGTTGTGCATTTAAGAAAGGCTGCAAGGAGAAGCCAGAGAACTATAGGCCTGTGAGTTTGACATCAATGATGGGTAAGTTGTTACAGGGGGTTCAGAGATAGGATTTTCATGTATTTGGAGAGGCAAAGGCTGCTTAGGGATAGTCAGCTTGGCTTTGTGCATGGGAAATCATGTCTCACAAACTTGATTGAGGTTTTTGAGGACGTAACCAAAAGATTGATGACAGCAGAGCTGTAGACATGTCTACATGGACTTCAGTAAAGCCTTTGACAAGATTCCACATGGTAGACTAATTCGTGGTTAGATCACATGGAGTTCAGGGAGACCTTGCCAATTGGATACAAGGTTGGCTTGACAATAGAAGACAGAGGGTGGTGGTGGAGGATTATTTATTGGACCTAAGGCCTGTGACCAGCGGTGCTCCACAGGGATTGGCGCTGGGCCCACTCTGTTTGTAATTGAAATAAACAATTTTGATGAGAATTTCGGAGGCATGTTTAGTAAGTCTGAGGATGACACGATAAGTGTTGGTATAGTCGACAGTGAAGGAGGTAATCTAAGATTATAAAGGGATCTTGATCAATTGAGCTGAGGAATGGCAGATGGAGTTTAACTTGGACAAATGCGACGTATTGCATTTTGGTAAAACAAACAAGGGCAGGACTTACACAGTTAAAGGTGGGGCCTTGGTAGTGTTGTTGAACAGAGGGATCTAGGGGTTCAGGTATATATTTCTTTGAAAGTTGCATCACAGGTAGACAGGGTGCTTAGAAGGCAGTTAGCATGCTTGCCTTCATTGTTTAGATCACTGAGTACGGAGTTGGGATGTCATGTTGAGGTTGTAGAAGACATTGATGAGGCCATTTTTGGAGTATTATGTACAGTTCTGGTCACCCTGCTAATAAGAAGGATATTATTAAATTGGAGAATGTTGCTGGGAATGGAGGGTTTGAGTTATAATGATAGGCTGTTACCTTTCTCCACTGGAGTGTCAGAGGCTGAGGGATGACCTTGTAGAGGCTTATAAAATCGTGAGGAGCACAGATAAGGTGAAAAGTAAAGGTCTTTACCCTAGTGTGGGGGAGTTCAAATATAGGGGGCATATTTTTAAGGTGAGAGGAGAAAGATTTAAAAGAGGGGCAACCTGAGGGGCAACTTTTCACATAGAGGGTGACTTGTGTGCGAAATAAGCTGCCAGAGGGCGCGGTGGGTGTAAGTACAGTTACAAGACATTTGGATAGATACATGAACAGTAAAGGTTTAGAGGGACATCGGCCAAACCCATGTAAGTGGGACTAGTTTAGTTTGAGATTATGGTCAGCATCGACGAGTTGGACCAAAGGGTCTGTTTCCATGCTGTATGATTCTATGACTCATTGGATACCTTCTAATAATCTATTTTAGTGAGGTTTGTGCTTAGCTGGGGTATTGAGGTGACTAGTTAAAAAAAAATACAGTAGATTTTTAAAAACTTCTTTCCTTTTTCATTAAAGGTAACACTTTTCCCATTCCTGATCTCTTGAACATTAACTGTGTGGTTCTGATGGAATCACTAAGATGTAGGCAAGGACAACTCACTACAATTGTCCTGATCAACCTGTTGCGGCAAGGGAAAATCTAGTTTCTGCTTTACACTGTCCCACATCAAACCAGTTGGGATCAGAAGCATTTGGGATAAAGGAGTGTGGGTGGCAAGTCATTTCCATATTGTGTTGAGGTGAATTGGCTCTATGCCCTTACTAACTCAAAACTCTTCAATGTTTGGACAATTTCCATGCTAACTGTCTTACAGTGAGTGAAACTAACTTACATGCAAATTCGCAGAATTAAGCCAATTAAAATTAGGTACTGAAAGAAACAACAACAATGTTCACTGTCCCTATACTTAATCAGAGCAGCTTAGGAAGTCGCCCAAGATGTTTATTGACTGAAAAGTCTACCCCTCTTACTTGAAAGTTATTTTAAGTATCTGATAATTCAAAAACATCAGCATGAATTTTGATTTTACAATATTTATATTGTTTAGCTCAAGTTATTTGATAATTCAAAACAAAAATTAAGCATAAAAAAATTTCTAGATCATCAGAGATAGCGTAACAGGTGCCAGAATATTGAGCAACTGTAGTGGGTGGTGATGAGAGCACAGAGGAACCTGAGCCAATCCAAGACATTCACACACACGGCAGGAAAACAGAGGCAGATACCGGGACAGTTAGAGGAATAGTCGATTGGTATGGTGGGGAGACTGGGCCTTCCTGTGGATCATTAAGCTACGTGAACGTCCCTCATCACACCTGTTGTTCAGACTAGGCATGTAATCAGACGGGAAAACATAATAAATGCTCCACGTACAGCAGCGGTAGCAGGGTGCAATGTGTCATCAATGTATTTACTATTCAAGAGTAAATTCAAGACTATACTAGTCAAGAAGCAGGAAGCTTACTTAAGGTTTAGGAAGCATGGATCGGACAGGGCTGTAGAGGTCTACAAGGTAGCCAGGAAGGAACTGAAGAATGGACTTAGGAGAGCTAGAAGAGGGTATGAGAAAACCTTGGCAGGTAGGATCAAGGAAAACCCCAAGGCTTTCTATACTTCTGTGAGGAACAACAGGATGGCCAGAGTGAGGGTAGGGCCAATCAGGGATAGTGGAGGGAACTTGTGTGTGGAGTAGGAGGAGGTAGGGGAGGTCCTTAATGAATACTTTGCTTCAGTATTCACCAGTGAGAGGGACCTTGACGTTTGTGAGGACAGCATGAAACAGGTAGATATGCTCAAACAGGTTGATGTTAGGAAGGAGGATGTGCTAGAAACTTTGAAAAACATGAGGATAGATAAGTCCCCTGGGCCAGACGGGCTATACCCATGGTTACTACGGGAAGCGAGGGAAGAGATTGCTGCTCCTTTGGCAATGATCTTTGCGTCCTCACTGTCCACTGGAGTAGTACCAGAAGATTGGAGGGTGGCAAATGTCATTGCCTTGTTCAAGAAAGGGAATAGGGATAATCCTGGGAATTACAGACCAGTCAGTCTTACTTCTGTGGTGGGCAAATTATTGGAGAGCATTCTGAGAGATAGTATTTATGATTATTTGAAAAAGCACAGTTTGGTTGGAAATAGTCAGCATGGCTTTGTGAGGGGCAGGTCATGCCTCACAAGCCTTAATGAATTTTTTGAGGTTGTGACAAAACACATTGATGAAGGTAGGGCGGTGGATGTGCTGTATATGGATTTTAGCAAGGCATTTGATAAGGTTCCACGTGGTAGGCTCATTCAGAAAGTAAGGAGGCATGGGATTCAGGGAAATTTGGCTGTCTGGATACAAAACTGGCTGTCCAATAGAAGATAGAGGGTGGTAGTAGATGGATCAGCCTGGAGCTCGGTGACCAGTGGTGTTCCGCAGGGATCTGTTCTGGGACCTCTGCTCTTTGTGATTTTATAAATGACTTGGATGAGGAAGTGGAAGGGTGGGTTAGTAAGTTTGCCGATGACACAAAGGTTGGTGGAGTTGTGGACAGCGTGGAGGACATTGACAGGGTTCAGAGCTGGGCAAAGAAGTGGCAGATGGAATTCAACCCAGAAAAGTGTGAAGTGATTCATTTTGGAAGGTTGAATTTGAATGCAGAATACAGGGTTAATGGCAGGATTCTCGGCAGCATGGAGGAACAGAGGGATCTTGGGGTCCACGTCCATGTCCCTCAAAGTTGCTACCCAAGTTGATAGGGTTGTAAAGAAGGCGTATGGTGTGTTGGCTTTCATTGGCAGGGGAATTGAGTTTAAGAGCCATGAGGTTATGCTGCAATTCTATAAAACTCTGGTTAGACCACACTTGGAATATTGTGTTCAGTTCTGGTCACCTCATTTTGGAAAGACGTGGAAGCTTTAGAGAGGGTGGAGAAGAGATTTATCAGGATGCTGCCTGGACTGGAGGGCAGGTCTTATGAGGAAAGGGTGAGAGAGCGAGGGCTTTTTTCATTGAAGCGAAGAAGGATGAGAGTTGATTTGATAGTGGTTTACAAGATGATAGGCATAGATACAGTGGATAGTCAGAGACTTTTTCCCAGGGCGGAAATGACTATTACGAGGGGACATAATTTTAAGGTGATTGGAGGAAGGTATAGGGGAGATGTCAGAGGTAGGTTCTTCACACAGAGAGTGGTGGGCATGTGGAATGCGCTGCCAGCAGTGGTAGTGGAGTCAGATACTTTAGAGACTTTTAAGCGACTCTTGGATAGGCACATGGAAGATAATAAAATGTAGGGTATACAGAGTAGATTGATCTTAGTAGGATAATAGGTCAGCACAACATCACGGGCCGAAGGGACTGCACTGTGCTGTACTGTTCTATTTTCTATGTTCTATTCCAATACCTCTCACCATAGATTTCCATTAACCCCACAGTTTTATCCCTTTGCTTACCTTGGGGGTGCCCAGTCATGTCTTGTACAGTCCAGAAGTGTTCCAACATAAGTTTTGTTTCGCCAGGTCACATTCACCACCAGGACACCTGGTAAGAGGGTGGAGAAAGAGAGAAAAACAGTTAGTCGGTTTAGACCATTGGTTTATTGAAAAATCATCATGGTCACAGGTGTTGAATTACGATGACAATACAAATGAAAAAGGTAATATGAATTCATAATAGTTATAGGCTGTCATTGAAATAAAAAAGCATAAAATAATTTATGAACATTATGAACATGAACAATATAAAAACACAGGTATTCTTAACTTACAGAATAAAAATGAAAGGTCTATTGCATTCTGCATTTTAAAGACCACTGTTCATATGTTGCCAGCCCAAGTTCATTAAATTTGGAATCATTTAAATGTTATTTGTGAATTTTATAAAGTATGGGATTGGCCTGTCTAGTCATCTATTCATTTTGTTTCTTATTTGTAGACTGGTGTCTTTTCCCGTTCAAAATGAAATATTTGGTAACTCTAAGCATCATATACGTTTTGGTTTAATTTTAAAAAATTATCCATAAAGCTGTCTGCTGCACCATGTTCTTAAGTAAGCCAGGTCTTCACAGAATTAAAGATTTACTAATAGGATCTGCCCTGCAGGAGGCTAGCATTTGTAGACATTTGACTTTGCATTCTACTATGCTCAACCAATGAGTTGAACAATTTCAGTGCAGTTGCTGCGTCACATTTAATTATTCAAGAGATAGACTGAGGTAAAAAAACAGTTTTTATTCAATTGCGTTATTACCAATAGAACTAGAGACCTCTAGTAAACCTGTCCCTCTGCTCAGAGCTTCTCAGAGAGGAATGTGACATGTTGAAGATTAACCTTTATTAAATATTCAAGCTCTCAATGCAGGTAACAGGTTAGCACAAGTCCGAGAAAATCTGCAGCATCAACCCCCATTTTAACAAGGCTTGCAATTTCAGTCCAATTAGAAGAGTATGTGACTTAGGATGCTTTATTCCTTAGAAGTGTTATGTTGTGCAGGTAAAGCGCGATCAACTTGCTTCTTCTACTATCCCTGTCACTCAGGATTTATTGTTGTCCCATTCTACTGCTGTTGAGGGACATTCCATGGCCTTGTTTACCAGCAGTCAATGATGGTCCTGGTCTTGGTGCGCTGACTTTAAGAATAGGCAGTGCTCATAACAGGATGAATTGGAGGCCTAGACTGCTGCAACTTGTCACAGCCAGCAGAATATGGATATTTAGGTCATTGATTCCATTTATCAAATCCAAACGTAAAGACAAAAATGACCCCTGTGAACCAAGCAATGATTGGCAACATCTGACAGAAAGGTTGGACTTGCTGCCAGTCTGCATAAACAAACAAAGCATCACACTGACCCAAGTACAACGAAGCCACTGTTCCATGCATTCCCTTTGTCAAGCTCTTTATATCCTCAAAAGAGACCACGCCAAGTTTCTGTTTCAAAATGAAAAATACATAGAATTCGAGCCCTATTGTAACTGAACCTTACAGGATCAGTTGGCATGATATTAAAAACAACATAAATGGTGCCAACCCTCAAAAAGACACAGTCATATCCAATTTATTCCGAGCAACTACTTGTAACGTGGCAGTTGCCCAACTTAATCAAGCATGGTGCAAAATATCTTTGCACAGCGATCAACTTGCCCAACTCCTGCAGAACAGGATACAGATAAGCTAATCAAATACATTACGTACCTGCAGTGCCAGAATTCCAGAAATATAACCCAATAGGTTGCTTTGCAGAGTTTATAAAAGCATACAGAACAAGACTACTAGGGACAGTTGCCCAGACAATTTCTTTGAAAAAGCCCTCAGTCTCACTTCTTTGTTTGTTCCACACAGACTTACAGCTCTTCCTTTTCAAAAAAGGACCCAACATAAAATTGTGTAGGAATGGCCTGGAAAACCCACGGTCCAAATCCCTCACCTCTGCTTGGGCAAGTGTCCAGAGATTGTGCACCACTCCTGCCTCTAACCCGCCACTAAGATGTTCTCACCGCGAGGGCTGCTAGGCACTATGTAGACACCTTGCGAAACCCAGTATCAGGTGACAGGTTCTTCACTCACTGTAAAGTCCTTAACATTAAGTTCAACATGAGTAAAGGAAGTTTTTTGGATCTTGCAGGGTTTTTCTGACAGCTCTGACACTAATTCCTGGCCGAATGAGATGAGAGTCCAGGCAGGAGCTAAGGGTTTGATCCTTATCAGTGGGTATTGAATTTGCAGTATACTTAACCAGGAGATTTACTTTATAATTACAATCACCAAGCCAAGTCAGAACAAGAACATCTTGTAAAATACACTGCAGACTTGAAGGGAGCCAACAGGAAATGCCAATGTCTCAGCTAGCAGCTGGAATATTTTAACAGGCCTTCAGGGGGCAGACCATACCTTGTAACTGTTGTAGTAGTAAACTCAGCACTCCAGACTGACCTCTCTCACAGGACACCTTTTAATCTCAAACACCCTGAACAGAAATACAAGATCTAAAAGCCTAGTTCATGCTCACCTGCCCCAACCAGTATCATTCCTGAGCTCTCTCTGCTTTCCTCCCAAAAAAAAAACATGCTCTCACCTCACGCTCTCTTTGAACTGGATGCTTCTAGGTCTTAGGGAAACGTCAGACCCAGATCAAATTTACATCAATACCACGGTTTTCCTTCCTTGGTTTGGTAGATTTAATTTCCGGCACAGCACACAGATAACATATTGAAAAAGCCTGACTATACCCTGGGACCCTCCTCCACCATGTGGAATAGTGGGAGTGTATGTGCAATTGAATTGCTCCCTGAGAACCTTCAGAACCAGACAACTGATTGGCAAGGGAGCTTCATAATCCCTAGGGTCAGATGCAAGTCTTTTCCTAACCCTGTAGCATCCTCCAGCCCTGAAAAAAACCTTTAAAAACTTTGCTTTCTCTAACCCACTTCCAGCCCTCACAATAAACACCCTACCATTCCCACACTAAAAAAATGACTCTGGTCCCTGATATTTGCTAATGCCACTAGCTTCACCCTAAATTCCTTCACAAGTTTAGGCCCAAGGTCTGCACTTAATAATACCATAAAACATAGAAGCACTGATTCTGCTTTGGCATTTAATGAAATCATGGCTGATCTGATCATCCTCAACTCCACTATCCTGCCTTTTCCCCATAACCCTCAGTTCTCTTACTGATTTTTAAAAAATCTCTCTCAGCCTTGGATATACTTAATGACCCAGTCTTGACAGTTCTCTGATAAACAATTCCACAGATTCACCAAAAAATACTGAATTCTGGTTTAACTGGGCAATGCTTACACTGAGATTATGCCTCCTCTCCGTAGACTCTCCCACAAGGGAAACAACCTTGCCATATCTACCCTATCAAGCACCCTAAGAATCTTGTGCTTCAATAAAGTCAATTCACATTCTTCTAAACTCCATAGAGTTCAATTTCAACCAATATAGCTACTGCTAATTCGAAGAGCCCTCTACACCCAGAATCAAAATCAACTTAGTGAACCTTCCTTGGACACCAAAACTGTTCAGAGTATTCTACATGCAGTATGATGAGTGCCTTGTATAGTTTTAGCAAGACTTTCCTATTTTTATACTCCATTCCCTTTAATTATGAAGGCCAACATTCCATTTGCCTTCCCTATGATATGCTGAATATGGATGCTAGTTTTTTGCAATTCATGTACAAGGATTCAGCAGTCTTCTTCCATTTAAATAATATTAAAATCTTCTATTCTTTCTGCCAAAGTTCAGAATCGCACATTTTCCCACATTATATCCCACTAAATTTTTGCTCATCTCAACCTGTCTATATCCCTCTGAAGATTCCTTATGTCATCCTCACTACTTACGCTTCCACCAATTTTTGTGTCATTTGCAAAATTAGCCATAATATATTCACTTCCTTCATCCCAGTCATTATATATGTTGTAAATAATTGTGGCTTCAGCATAGATCCCTGTGGCACTCCACTAATTACAGATAGCCATTCTGAAAATGTCCCCTTTATCCCAACTCTGTGTCTTCTATTAGTTGGTCAATCCTCTATCCATGCTAATAGACTACCCCCAACACTATCTTATTAAGTTGACCAATGTTTGGTATATTACCAAGTTTTTCGGAGATTACTACCAGTGCATCCACTATCTCTGTAACTTCTTTTAATATCGTAGGTCACATCCCATCAGTTCAAGGGACTTGTTTTTTAGTCCCATTAATTTTCTCTAGTGACAATTAACATATTTATTTCCTCCCTCCCCAGGTCTCTTAAATATTTAGCATCTTTGGAATATATTAGTGTCCTTTTCTGTGGAGACTGATATAAAGAAACTTTTTCAAATCCTATGACATTTCCTGGCTCCCAATTATTTCATCAGCCTTGTTCTCTAAGGGGCCAATGTTCACTTTGTCCTCTCTTTTCCTTTTTATATATTTAAAGAAGGTCTTACCATCTGTTTTTATATTAGTTCCTAGTTTGTGCTCAGTTTTATTTTCTCACTCTTAATTATTGTTTGCCATCTTTTGTTAGCTTTGAAATCTTTCCCAATCCTCTGATTTACCACTAATCTTTGCTACATTGTACAATCTTTCTTTCAATTTGGCACTGTCCTTAACTTCCTTGGTTAACCATGGTCGGTTTATCGGCCTTTCTAGGATCCTTCTTCCACCCTGCAATGTTTTGTTTTAAATGTCTGCCATTATTCATGACCTGTCTTTTCTGGTTATCTCCTTCTCCAGTCCTCCTTGGACAACTCTGTCCTCATCCTTATGTAGTTACCCTTACTTAACCTTGACACAGTTGTTTCTGACCCAAGTTTCTCACTCTCAAGTTGAATGCTAAATTCTGCCATGTTATGGTCACTGTTTCTTTGGGGAGCTCTTACTCTGTTTCCGAAACATCCTCCCAATTTTCCGCTTTTTATGGCCCTGCTTAAAACTGGTCACTCGCCCTTGCAACTTCACCCTCTGTTCAGAGTCAAAATCTGCCTTAACATTTTCCTAAATGAGCTATATAAACACAAGCTGCTGTTGTTATCTTTTG